AGGTCATCTGGAGGGAGCTTATAGAGGTGGAGTAAGTTCAGTAGGTCGGGGAGGGGATCCAGAAAGGCACATGTGTTGCAAAGCAGTATGTTTTTCAAATATGGTAGGGGGGGAGCATGCTGGCGAGGGATGTCCTGTGTATTCAGAGCAGGGAAGGAGAGGAGGGGGAGGGATGCTAAGGAGGAAGTAGACAGTACGGGTTGTAAGGCTGCCTCTGGGCCATGTGGGGGTCAGGGGTGTCACTCTGCACAGGCAGTAGCCTTCAGCACTGACTACACATCACAACCACCAGGCATAGGGGCCAGCATTGCGTCACAGTGAGTTAAGCTGCTGCTTATAATGCCAGCATCCTATATTGAGGAGCTGCTTTGAGTCCTAGCTGCTCCACTTCCAGTTTAGCTCCCTGGACAGGATGGTGAAGATGATGGCCCAAACCCTTGGGCCCCTGTCATCTCTATGTTCTACACGGAGTTCCAGGCTATTGGCTTTGGCCTGGCCCAGTCCCATCTTGCTTTCTTGCTCATTCTCTCTCTATCTCTCTCCCTTCTTCTCCAACAAATGAAAATAAATCTTAGGAAAAGCAATATTATAGGGCAGGGAAGAAGGGACATTAATTTGGTAGCCCACTAACTATGCAAGACTATTGACCAACTTTCTCCAAAAAATACAAGGAACAAAGGCAAGGGGTAGCTAGCTACTTAGGTCAACCGCCTACCAGGGCATGGATGTTTGCTGATGAGAACAAGCAATTAACATGAAACATCCAAGAGACATGGGGGAAATCTGAGCACTGAATCAGCACATGAATAGCTAATGCTGAAGGTGGTGATACCATCATGGATACACTATTTAAAGAGATGAACCCTTCTAGAGAAACTTGTAAGAACCCTTATGAGTGAAGTGACATGAAATCTTGGATTTGCTCCAATGTATCCTGGAAGGGGAGAGGAGTGGAGGGGAAACAGAGCTAGAAGGAGACTGTTGACCAAGGAGATGATTAGAAGTATATTGGAGTAGAAGTATATTAGAGAAGTATAGTTCACACTGCTCTCTCTACTTTCATGTTTTGTCTGACAATTTCCATGCTAAGAATATTTTTAGAGGAACACTTGCACTGAAATGATTGCTGACACCTTTCCTCCTCATTATGCATAAGTGGATTTTGCTTTTAATGCAGTTCCTCTCTCCAGAACACCCAAGCGAGAGCATTCTATGTTAGGGTCAAGTGGGTTGCTGGCCAGAACTTAGTGATGAGTAAGTTGGATGGCAGAATCAGCTTCTGAACATATTTTGACAGTTTATATCTTGAGCTACAGCTGACAATAAAGATTTAATAGAGATTAACATGAAAACCCTACACGTGTGTTCAAACAAAACAGCCATATAAATGACTTGACATAAAGAGACACATTTCACAAAGGCTCATGAGAAATGGCGCCAGCTCAGCGTGAGTCAGCAGCAAGGAGGAGCCATGGAAAGCACCTTGCAAGGACAGGGGGTGCTCAGAGAGAAACTCTGTGTCCCATCTTTCCTAGGCTAGAGTAGGGTTGGGTTCTAGGAACCCAGGCCAGTAGGGCCACACCTGTACATCCTGCACAAAGCAAAGGGAATATGGAGGCATTTGAACAGAAAGAATCTGATCAGGAAAAATCACCCTCAGACCCTGAAGATATTCAGGTACAAAGGGATTCAGAGTTATCATCCCCTGTGGTCACAGAGCAGAAAACCTGAGCCAATGCATGGCATTTACAAAGTAGGACTCAGTGGAGGAATGAAGCTTAAGAGCTCCCTGAAGGTAGCTTACTACTGTGGACCATGCCTTAGACAGAGGCTATGAGTGTCAAAATAGAGGCTCTTTTCGAGGGCCTCTGAACTTATATCTAGTCTTAAGGGTCTGATTTTCCCCAGAAATACATTAACAATGGTATCCAAAAGAATAGGGACTGTGTCTCCCTTGCATGACATTTTTATTAGGAGCTTTGCCAAGCTCCAACATAGGTTATGTCACTGAATGAGTCCATCCATCAACAGGTGCTGATTGAGGGCACTATGGCATGACTTACAACACCACATGCTATAGTCTGTTTCTTTTAAGACTTCGTGGTAGAGTTACTCGTCAAAATTAGCATACAGAAAGTACAATATTGTGAATATCTTTCATTTTAGAAAGTGCTTTTTTTTTAACGTTCACTACCCAGGTGTTCCTTGAAAACATCCCTGAAAGGAAGGTACTATGTTTCTTACAATAATCATGAATACTAAGTAGTGCTAATATTTTAAGTCTCTATCTCCTTCTAGAACTGCCCAGTTTCTCATGTCGCTCACATGAACTTACTCCCAATCAAGAGGAAACTGTCTAATTTTCAGTTCCCTTCATCCTAGTAAACTAAAAATAACCATCCATGTCAAAAGAAGAAAATAATCTAATCACAAAAGTCAAATACTCTCCAAAAACAGAAGCATAAAGAAAACATTCTTGGAGCTGGTGCAATGGCTTAATTGACTAAATCCTCCCTTTGCATGGATGGGAATTCCATATGGGTGTGAGTTCCTGTCCTGGCTGCTTCACTTCCAATTCTTGTGGCCTGGGAAAGTGGTGGAGGATAACCCAAAGACTTGGGACCCTGCATCCAAGTAGGAGAGAACACAACAAAGTGGATCAAATATTTACTTGATCTTGGACAGGAAGAGTATGATCAAATGCAAGTAATCGGCACAAAAGAGGGACTGGGAGAAGTTGAGTTGAGAGGCAATGATGGTGGTGCAGCCTCCTGAAAGCAGGTTAGGTAGCTAAAGCCAGTTTCAGCACCAAGGACAGGGCAGAGCTCCTCAACCTGGGGTCTAAATACCCAAAGTCAAGTGGCTTCTGCCTTCAGACAGGAGACTGCCCTCCTCCACTCCAGCACACCAGAGTGGTAGCTTAGCTTGGAAGTCCCAGGCATGGATTCTGTACCCATGCTCAATGTCCTGGCTCTCTCTGTGACAAAATGTGATCTTGATGAATCAACGTGGCAGAATAGGGTAAGGACACGTTTAAACAGACAGAGAAACGTTACCCAGTGTGAAGCAGAGAGGGCACATTACAGGAAATAGGAGAAGACAGAACAATAGCAGAGGGGTACCTGAAGACTGACAGACACAGGAAAGCACCAGACACAACTGTGTGGCATTGCAGTGACCGACAAAGTGACCTTGACCTCTCTGGACTTGCTTTCCCCCACATAGATAAAATGACAACAATACTGATTTAGATAATCATTTACTTTTCACCGAGATCCCAGAAGACCCTTGTGAAATGAGAATGAGCCACATGCAAAGTTTTCAAGACAACTACATATTCATCTTTGGTTATATTTGCTGGTTTTTCCATAACCTTAGATCTCAAGTCATGGCAGGAGGTGAATGGGAGTGTGGAGTGTTGTAGTCAAAGTCTTGCTGGGCTCACAGGTGGCTGCTCTTGAGTCAGCAGGAAGGAAATCACACTGGCAGCTTTGCCCGCACTCCCTCACCACCCCAGCCCAAAGGTACCACCCAAGAGGAGAGGTGAGGAAGGTTCAGGGGTAACCCACGCTGGGCACTACAGCTGTCCAGTTGGAATAGTTAAAGGTCAAGGTGCCATCTTTCCCTCTCCCAGTTTGGAGGATAAGCCCTTGTGGGAGGGGAGGCCTATCACACGGCTGTCACCTGTGGCCCAGCTGCTTTGAATTCCATACTCAAGTGGGTGCCAATCTCTCCTTTGATCAATCAACTTCTCATGCATGTCCCAAACTTCTACTTCTCTCCTCCAGCCTCTTCTCAGATTTCAGCCCCTTGTATCAAAAGAGGACATGGTTTTCTACTTCAGCAGGAAAATGGAAGCTGTTGGAAGGGGTCTTGCCTCAGTATCTTTTCCATGCCTCCATTTTTACCTGCTTCCACCCCTAACTTCTGTTCTTTCTTCTTGGGCAAAGGTGAAGATGTCCACCTCTATGTCATCCCATCTAATGCTCTGCTCCATCAGTTGACCCTCCTCCTTCTGCCATTCCCAACCCCTCCTCTCTTTAATCCTTGTCTCTTCTGCTTTTCAACTAGATATATTGAAATGGTAATGCACATGCATCTTGTCCATATACTCATTCCCACAAACTCATAGAAACCACAAAATCCAGAACTGAGGATCTGGGTGTACAGAGGGAAAATTTGCCCTGTGTCTGGCAGTGCAGGGATGAAGCAAATGAGCCCAAGTCACCATGGATCTGCTTCATGGAGAAAGATACCACCCTCCTCCAGAGATAGGTCAGGGAGGCCTGGGCAGAGGTTGCAGAATGGGTGGGAGATCACTTGGGGCTTAGAAAGGTCCCCCTGTCCCCAAATAACAAAAACACCCTGGAATAGGCTTGACACCAGGACCCAATCAAGTGGATTGATGGCCTTTATACCCACTACTGAGTTTTTGGGAGGCCATCCCTCACACACAAGACTCCCCTCCATGCTTGATGTATGTTGTGACCCCATACACGAAAATCAAACACCAGGATGTAGAATACCATGCAGTTTATTGAGAGACTAAAGTGTGACACACCGATCACCAGAGGAGCCACAGCTCAGGGAATTAGGGGGACAAAAGTAATCCAGGCTAGAAGGTCAGAGGGCACTTTAGGAACCAAGAGTCCAGAGATATTGACCTTCCACATCCACCTACCAGCCCTAAGCCCATGGCATTGACCTCCTTGAGTGGTATTGGGATATGTTCGTGACAGACCATAGCACCGCAGGGATAGAGAGGGGTCAGCTAGATCAGGAACAAGAGACAGATGGGGCTCAGGTGTCGCCATCTAGAGTCAGGGCATCTTCATCCCAGACTGGCAGCTGGACCTCAGTGACCTAGGAGAGGGCTTGGAGGCAGAGAGGATAGGGGCTCAGGCTGGAAAGCATGGCTGATGCATCAGTGCCAGGCAGAGACATGTTGATTACAGGCTGAGAGGGCAGCAGGTGCATATTTGGAGCCTTGGACCATAGCATCACTTGGAGCATTGCTGACTTGAGCTGGAGGTCTGGGAGAAGCGGATGCTGGTGCTACCTTCACCAGCAGGCCTGTAGCCACTGCCTCCGGAGGTCTGTACACTGCCAGAGCCAGAGCCCCTTCCACTCTGGCTCTCAGAGCGGCTGCCACTCAGATAGCCCTCGCTGCTGTCCCTGCGCCTGCTGCTGCCATCGCCGCTGACTCCTCTGTAACCACTGCTGTTGGTGGTGGTGCTGCTGCTGCCCCCGTAGCCAACATTGCTGTTACCACTGACTCCTCTGTAACCACTGCTGCTGCTGCCGCTGCCACTGCTGCCCCTATAGCCGCCACTGCTGCTGTCATCAGCTCCTCTGAAACCTCCACGGCTTCCACCAGAGCCACTGCTTATGCTGGTGACATGGTTGACCACTGCTGCAGGAGAACAACAGGGGTTCAATTTGAGCAAAAGGCTTAGAAGGACAGAGACCTGGTTCTACGTCACTACCCCCGCCCTTGCCACACTAGCCACAGGCCTCAAAGAAAGATGCTCAACTGCTCTTGGACTTCAGTGTGCAGAGTAAGAGTGAATCTGACCCTTAGGTGGCCTTTCCTGAGAACAGGAACTAGAGGAAAACTCAAGGTCATTTCCCAACAAGCAATGGCACTCCCTAAGACCACAGGGATGGCTGGCGCCAGAGATGGAGTGTGTGGAAATGGCCTGATACTCTAACAACTCTCATCTGAGCTCTTTGGCCAGGTCAGACCCTCTTGCCTGAAGATCAGGCAGAAGGGACATTCCTAGTGGACTTTAGGACAACCCAGAGGCAAGGTGTTGAATGTGCTACTTACAGATGCTCACCGCGTCCTGGCACTCTCCAGACATTCTGAAAGGGGTGAAAAGGAGGTGAGACTATTTAGCTGATGAGCCCATAGCTGAGGAGCTAAGGGCAAAGGATGCCTAAGACTCCACCTGGGATGTCCCCACCCCACATCAGAATGCCTGGGCCCAAGTTCTGGCTCCGCTTCGGATTCCAGCTCCTTGCTAATTCACACCTGGGAGAGAACAGGTGATGGTTCAACTACTTGGATCTCTGCCACCTATATAGGAGAATCAGACGGAGTTCCAGGCCATTGCCTTGGGCCTAACCATGCCCCACTTGTTACAAGTGTTTTGGTAGTGAACCACCAAGTATAACATCTCTCTCTCTCTCTCTCTCTCTCTCTCTCTCTCTCATAATTTTTTTCTTTAGAAAAAGAACTAAGGGTTCATAACCTTGGGAGCCACACTCTCCAAATGATGCTACAAAAAGTCAAACTCCCAGAACAGATAAGACTTTCCAAGCCTATTACAAGGCCAGCCACATCTCTCTAGAAATTGGGAGCTGTTTTGAGGATGAAACTTCTGGGCTCTCCACCCACCACACTCTGTCTCATCCACAATCCTAAATATTGTGTGCTCTGGACAAACCACCAGCCTCCACTTGCCAACCTGCTTAGCCAGTCCTCAAGGATCATTCCCCCACAGATACCCTCACCCATGTGGGTCTGCCTTTCTTATCCACTAGTCTGAAATGTATATTATAAACTTTCTATTCCAGGGAGTCTACCTTAGTGAGCCATCTCACAGTGTTGGTGGTTCAAGGTTTAAAAAAGGTATGGAGAGAAGAGGGAAATCAATGTTGTGGCATAGTAGGTTTGGTCTATAGAGCTGACACACCATATGAGTGCCAGTTCAAGTTCCAGCTGCTCCACTTCCCATCCAACTCCACACTAATGGAATGGGAAAGTTGTGGAGACTAGCTCCTGGCTCCTGGTTTCAGACTGGCCCAGCTCTAGCTATCGTAGCCGTTTGGGGAGTGAGCCAGTGGATGGAAGACCTCTTTCTGTCTCTCCTTCTCCTTGTAAATCTTTCAGAAAATACAAAAAGGGCTGACATAATGATGGTTTTGAGAATTCCCTATCCCCACGTCCACCTACTTCACTCCTGTCCACAAAGGCATTTTTCCATGTCTGGATCCCCTTGCCCATATGTGCCCTCTGACCTCACCACATGACTCTCAACACACCTAACTCCATCTTAACTCTTTCCCTTTTCGACATCTCCTTTAGCTCTCGTGCTTGGGTTTGGCTTCCTCCCTCAGACTGGGAGCCTTCTGGAGACAGACGCTCAGAGCACAGGATGCACAGAGCCAGGTAGAAGAGAGATGGCTTGATACTGCACTCTCTGAGCGTCAGGGAGACACTACCTAGGCGCTAAGCCCTTATATGATGCTTGTTTAAGCGCCTCCTGAGATAGACTCAGCCTCAGCATTTGGGAGTTACAAGACTGGTACTCAGCAAGCAAGTATGGGAACCTCTAGCCATGCTGGGTTATTTGAGTTAATGGAATTAAATGCAAAAATTGGCTTTTCAGTGGCTCTCAAGATCCACGCTACAAATGTCTATTGGCTCCTGCACTGCACAGCACCCATGTAGGTCACTTTGTCATCCCCAAGAGTTCCAGAGCACAACATTGGGCTATAATCGCTGTTGTAGCTGCCCGGGGACTTTTCCTGGTGCTTCGCTTACTGTAGGAATAACAGATGCATGCAGTGTAATGCTGACATTCCTAAAGAATCAGCGATGTGTATGAGCTTGACTGAAAAAACATAGAAGGACTTCAATCCTTCACTCAGGAAACTCCTGGCCCATTATCTGGGGTGCCCTCTCTTTGTCTTCTTGCCCACTTTCTTCAAAACCAAAGGTCAATCTAAAATCCCACCCATGGCCCCGCACCTGCTCTCCTCGCCCTCCAGCAGCTTGCAGTAGGTGGCGATCTCTACGTCCAGGGCCAGCTTCACAGTCATGAGCTCCTGGTAGTCACGTAGCAGCCGGGCCAGGTCATCCTTGGCCTTCTGCAGGGCGGCCTGCAGCTCAGCCAGCTTGGCATTGGCATCCTGGAGGGCCAGCTCGCCGCGCTGCTCGGCGTCGGCGATGGCTGATTGCAGACTGGCATTCTGGGGGCAGGGATGGCAGAAAGTCTCTTAGCATGGGCAACATGAAACAGACACTCTGCTAACCAAAGAGGAGATTTCCACGTGCCATCTCACAACCCTCTCTCTCCTCCATAGAAAGCTCAGTAGGCTGCCTAGTAAAAAAAAGAAAAGAGAGAGACAGAGAGAGAAAGAAAGGAAAGAAAGGAAAGGAAAGAAAGGAAAGGAAAGGAAAGGAAAGGAAAGGAAAGGAAAGGAAAGGAAAGGAAAGGAAAGGAAAGGAAAGGAAAGGAAAGGAAAGGAAAGGAAAGGAAAGGAAAGGAAAGGAAAGGAAAGGAAAGGAAAGGAGGAAGGAAGGGAGGAAGGAAGGGAGGAAGGAAGGAAGGAAGGAAGGAAGGAAGGAAGGAAGGAAGGAAGGAAGGAAGGAGAGAAAGAAAGAAAAGAAGTTAATTTTGCAACATGTTAATGTGCTCTTATGTCCTCAAGTAAAGCAACATGGTGTGTTTTCCTGAGCTGGTATGGGTAGAATTCCTGATGTTTATCTGGGCTTTTTTGCAAAGTCTGAAAACCTCCCTTTCCTGAGCATGTCCCACCAGAGAGGCATGGCAGCCTTAAAGGTCCTGAGAAGAACATGCTAGACATCTCCTCTGGGGCCCACATCTTGCTGTGGGCTGTGTCCCACAGGCCAGCCCTGTGGCTAGGAAACTTGCTGGGCAAACCAGACCAGGTAGTCTCTTCCCTGAGAGATGACTGTGAGAAGCCCAGACTGCGAGAGGAGCGTCTGGGAGAACAGGAGTTCCAAGAGAGGATACCCTCCCATACTGAACACCCCAAAGGGGCAGGGAGGCACACTCTTCTCCCTGGGAGGGGCCAGGAGAGCTCCAGAGGGCCCTGGGTGAAGTGGAACCCACCTGCTTCTTGATGCTCTCAATCTCGGCCCGCAGCCTCTGGATCATCCTGTTGAGCTCCGCAATCTCACTCTTGGTGCTCTTCAGGTCATCGCCGTGCCTGCCAGCCGTGGTCTGCAGCTCTCCAAGCTGGCAGATGAGAAATCAACCCCCAGAGCTTGGCAAAGTGAGAGCAGCCGCCTGAGGAAGGCCCTCAGGACACAGCACTCGAGCTGCAGGACAAGGCAAAGCTCTTACCTTGGTCTGGTACAGAGCCTCGGCCTCTGCCTTGCTCCTTTGGGCGATCTCCTCATACTGGGCCTTGACCTCGGCAATGATGCTGTCCAGGTCCAGGTTGCGGTTGTTGTCCATGGACAGCACCACAGATGTGTCGGAGACATGGCTCTGCATCTGGGACAGCTCCTGAGGTAAATACAGATATTTCTCTCCCCAGTCCCTGATCCTAGGGGATGCTGAGGATCCTGTACCAGGAAAGATACCCCAAAGCCAAGGCTAGGAGTGGGACAGTTAGAAAAAAGAAATTTGCAGGGCAGGCAGGTGTTGTGTTGCAGTAGCTTGAGCCACTGCCTGCGTTGCTGGCATCCCGCATGGGCACCAGTTCATGTCCTGGCTGCTCCACTTCCAATCCAGTTCCCTGCTAATTGCCTGGGAAAAGCAGTTGACAGTGACCTGTTTGGGTCCCTACCACTCATGTGGAAAACCTGAAAGAAGGTCCTGGCTCCTGGCTTCACCCTGACCCAGCCTCAGCCACCACAGACATCTGGGAAGCAAACCAGTGAAGAAAATGTCTCTTTCCCTCTTTCTCTTCAACTATGGCTTTCGAATAATTAAATGAATTATTCTACAAAACAAAGGAAGGAATGAAAAGGCAGCTGACACTTCAGGCCTGGCTCCAGCCTAAAGAATGCTAGACCTTGAGGCTGCACCCAAAACTGAGCCTATGCCTTGGAAGCAAGCAGGCAGTGAGGCTGGAGCCTGGGAGTTACCATGTCAAAGAGGGTCCTCAGGAAGCCGATCTCATCCGTCAGGCTGTGCGCCTTGGCCTGTAGCTCCGCCGTGCTCGCATGAGCCGCATCCACATCCTGCAGCAGGGCGGGGGAGGGAGAAAGGGGCAGAAGACCAAGAGTCACCCCCTGCTCCCCGGCCCTTTCTTACCCCTCAGCTCTCCTCATTGGCCTTCCCCAGCCCCCTTTTCCAATGGTGATTTCTCACCTTCCCTTTTAGAGTAAAAAAGAAATGATCATCCAAATAGTTTTCCTCTTTCCATTATTTTGACCAAGCAAAATGCAAGCCATGTTAGCCAGGAGTGGCCATATTATCGACACACAAGTCACTCCAACTATGCGGGTGAGACACCAAAAACGCAACCCCGCAACTAGATGCAAGGCTGCCTCTCTACTTGTTTTTGATAAAAGTTGGTTCCAATAAGCTACAGCTGTGGGCCGCAGGTCTCCACCGACACCGCACATACAACAATCACCACCTTACGAATCTCTTCATCCACCATGTCTGCACTGGAAGACCCCTTCCCCACTAGCCCTCCCTTAAGACGCTCACTTCCAGAGGAGTAAGGGAACCATGAGTCCCCACCCACAGCCTGTGCCTCAGCCAGCTCTGTGCTCATGCTCACTTGCTCTCTCTCTCACACTCTCTCTCTCTCTCTCCCCAGCAGTAGAGGCTCAGTCTGCTGCCCCACCTTCTTGAGCGCCACAAACTCATTCTCGGCTGCCGTGCGTTTGTTGATCTCATCCTCATACCTAGGACACAAGGGGACACACCTTAGGACAATGACATTGCAGGAGTGAAGGAATACCAGGAGGCTCGCAAGTCCTGGCGCTGCATCTCCAACAGAGAGATGGGACAGGCTACCTGGAAGTGCGACCTGAGCCACAGCTTCAAGAACCCTGAGCTCACTCGGAAAGGCTTCGGAGTCAGTGGATGCTTGACCACAGGCAGGAGCCAGATTGACATTCCCAATGACTTTCTAACAGGGTCCTGCATTGTCATATTGCCTTGAACCCTGAAAATCCCATGGTCCCTGTGTCCCAGACCTCTCCCAGCTTGGTTGCAGTGAGGAGCAGAGGTGCAGGCAGTTAGGCTGAGGGGAGATCTCAAGGACCCCAACTCCTTGTCCGTGATCTTGGATCCACTTCACAAAGTGCACGGTGCCCAAAGCAGGGAGCCAGAGAGATTAACACTCTCATAAGGCATTTCTACTTTCCTGGATGACTTGCAGGAATTGGAATCAGAATGAACTTGGACCAAGGCTATGGGATCCCTGCCTGTGAAGAACTAAACTCTCCTACCAAGAATTTGGATTCGGAAGCCAACGCTGTGGTATTATAGTGAGTCAAGCTGCTGACTGCAGCACCAGCATCCCTTATGGGCACTGGTTAGAGTCCCAGCTGCTCCACTTCTGATCCTGCTAGTAGCCTGAGAAAGCAGCAGAAGACAGCCCAAACCCCTGGACCCTGATGCCCACATGGGAGACCTGAAAGAAGCTCCCATCTCGCAGCTTCAGATGGGTTCAGCTCTAGCCATTGTGGTCATTTGGGGAGTTAACCAACAGATGGAAGATCTCTCTGTCCCTCTCTCTGTAACTCAGGCAAAATAAACCAATCTTTTAAACTTCTTCTTTATAAAAAAGTTTGGCTTTCACAAAGATGGAATACTGGATAATTCAGGAGCAAAGTTTCTGAGCAAGGTGACCCAAAATTGCCAGTGAACACCCACCGCCCAGTGTCGAGCCAGCCTGAGTGGGTGCTGGCAGGGCCTGGGCAGCTGAGTGGGAATGGGGCCTCCCCAGAGCAGATACAACTTGCCCTGCAGTCTGAGCCCTGGGAACATCTGGGGCTTCTCCACTCTGAGCGGCCCAGGGCCCCAAAGGATGTGGGAAATACAACTTAGAAGATTCAGGAGGAAGATGACTAAGGGTGCAGAAAAGGGGGCTCAATGGGACCCACTGAGAGTATGAAGTGCAGCCTGGGTCCATCTGCTTAGGACCCCAGGGGTTGGGAACACCCAGACTGACTCAGGACCTCAGAGATTGGAATAGAGGGCGGTGCACACCCAGGCAAGTTCCCAAGCTGATTCCCATGGACAAGGAAAGCATGGAGGGCTCCCTGTCCTGGAGGGCTTTATCTCAGCACAGAATTGCCTCAGACAAGCTTCGGTCCTACTACCAGAGCCCTTCTGCTTGGCCTTGCTTCTCTCAAGTAATCCCCACAGCATTAACTAAAGGCAGCATCAGGAGCAATGGAAACCTCAGGTGAGAACCATGTACCACCCGCCTCCAGGGATGTCCCCCAAAAGTCCCAGGAGGGGTCCTCACTTCTTCTTGAAGTCCTCCAGCATGCCCTGCACACTTCTCAGCTCCCCTTCTCGGCTACCCTTCTCCCCGAGGAGTGAATCCAGCTGCTGGCGCAGGAAGCTGATGTAGGATTCAAACAGGGGCTCCAGGTTGGAGGGGCCGGCACCAGAGCTCGTGGTCTGCTGCTGCAGCAGTGCCCACTTGGTCTCCAGGACTTTGTTCTGCTGCTCCAGGAAGCGCACCTGCATGGGAAAGAGAGAGGAAAGGTGGGACAGGAAAGGTGGGACAGGTAGGGCCACCCACCCCAAAGATGGAAATGCAGGAAGGGAACCCAGGTCTTCCATCTCTGCCTCTGTGTTTTGGGACTTGGAAAGGATGCAGATTCAGAAAAGGGAGAACAGGGTACTGACACTGTGGCAGAGTAGGTAAAGCCACCTCTTGCTGTACCAGCATCCCATTTGGGTGCCAGTTCAAGTCCCACCTGCTCCACTTTGGATTCAACCTCCTGCTAATGACCTGAGACGCACTGAAAGGTGACCAACAAGGCCTTGGGCCCGTGCACCCATGTGGGAGATTTGGAAGAGACTCCTGGCTCCTGGCTTCATATTGTCTCAGTTCCGGCCATTGTGGCCATTTGGGGAATTAACCAGCAGTTGAAAGATATCTCCCTCTGTGTGTGTCTCCCTCTCTCCCTCTCTCTCTTTCTCTCTGTAACTCTTCCTTCCAAACAAATAAATACTTGAAAAATAAATAAATAAAAGTCAGGGGGGATGGAAGGCCAGCATTGTGTTGCAGTGAATTAAGCTGCTGCTTGCAACCCCAGCATGTCATTATCAGGATACCAGTTTGTAGCTGAGCTGCTCCACTTCCAATCCAGCTCCCTGCTAATGCACCTGAGAAAGTAGCGGAGGACAACCCAAGTGGCTGGGCCCGTGCACCCACATGGGAGACCCAGATGGAGTTCCTAGTTTCTGGTTTCAGTCATTTAGGAAGGGAAGCAGCAGATGAAAGTTCTCTCTCTCTCTCTCTCTCTCTCTCTCTCTCTCTCTCTCTCTTTCTCTTTCTCTCCTTTTCAAATAAATAAATATGAACAAACAAACAAAAAAAAGACTGAAGACAAGGAGGAGCTAGGATATGCTGAGTGCTTATGCTATCCTGGCCATTTTTACCCATTCTAGCTCATTTTACCCATGTGACTACCTGTTGTGCAGACGTTAGGATTCCCATTTTACAGATGAGAAAACTGAGGTTCAAAGAGCTTAAGGAAGTTACCCAAAGTGACCTGACTGCTGCTACCTGACAAGGCTAAAAGTCAAACTTAGCACTGCCCTGGGTCTGTTGGCATCCTTCAGAATGAAAGAGGTTGGCAGTGAAAAAGCTGGGCAAATGGAGACTCTAAGATGGACTATGTCAGTCAGCGGATTCTGCAACGACTTCATCGTGCTTGGAATGGCAAGGTTGGCAGCAATTCATAACTGTTGAACTATCAAAACCACTTGAGCAAGACCCTCGGAGCATGCCCTACATCAGGGACCTGGGATGGGTGGGAGGCTGGGTGGGCTTCTCCCTTTATCTCCCAATTTACCCCAGAATCAGAAAAAGAAGAGAATGTGGAAATAACCATCTTACCCATTTTCCTGTAGCCCTTGAAACTTTGAACCCTAATTAACCATGTAAAGATTGTCAAAATAAAGAAAAAACAATTTTTTTAAGAATGAAAGAAGTCAGGTCAGCAGAGAGAGACTGTGCCAGCCAATTCACTGCCCCCCCACCAATGGCCTGCAATGACCAGACTGTATGGGATTAAAGCTGGGCACCAGGAGCACAACCAGGCCACCCCTGCCCCATGCGGGTGATAGGAACCCAGTTCCTTCAGCCATCACCACTACCTCCCAGGATCTGCACTCTGAGGAAGCTGGGACTGAGTGGACAGCTGGGACTCAAGCCCAGGCCATCCAGGGTAAGACAAAAGCAGCCTAAGCCTACAGCCAAACACCTGCTCCCTCGCTGTTTCTAGGATGCAAGCTTGACCCACTCCCATGAAGTGAACACAAAGTAAGCATGAAACCCAACCCTCCCCAGATGTGGCACACCTGGAGAGCTCTTGGTTGGGGGTATGGGGTGAAGGGGGTTTCTTGGCTTACAGCTGCCAAGACTTCCCAGCCCCAAAGGGCCTGTCTCTGTACTGTGCATTTGGAGGCTCTGCCACTGAGCAGCAGTCCCAGTACTTGCACTAACTCAAGCTTGCAGTGGCCTGAGCAGGTATCTCTCAAGAGGAGTGGAAAGGCAGTTGTACAAATACCGCGGTTCCAGCCCATTCTTCCACAAAGCTGATGGCACATTGGGGTTCCCATCCTACCAGCCCTCACCTTGTCCCCAGAAGGAAATGAGGACCCAGGAATTCTTCCCCCATTTCCAAACTGGAGAAAAACAGATCAAGAGAAGCAAGCTCCTGTGCTGGGTGAACCTGAATAGGCCAGGACAAGAGCAGGGTTTCTTCCCATCCCCCACAGAGCCTGGCCAGGTCCCACCAGCATCCTCCCACCCCACCCGGTGCCTCTGAGTTTGGTCCTCACCTTGTCAATGAAAGAAGCAAACTTGTTGTTGAGGGTCTTGATCTGCTCCCGTTCCTGGGCCCTCACTTGCCCAATCTGCGGGTCAATCTCCACATTGAGGGGCTGCAGCAGGCTTTGATTGACAGTCACTTCCTGGATGCCTCTGCAAGGACTACCAACGCCACCTGCTCCCCCAAAACCAACTGCTCCCCCAAAACCACCTCCCATTCCACTGCCACCACCAAAGCCACCTCCATAGCCACCCCCAAAGCCACTGCCACAGATGCTCCGCCCTCCACCAAAGCCACCAGCCCGCGAGCCACCAGCTGCCACACTCATGGAGATGCTTTTGTGGCCACCCAGGTTGTAGAGGCTGCGACTGCCAAAGCCACCTGCTCCCCCCTGGGTCCCAGAGGCCCCTGAGCCAGCTGCTGCCGAACGAGCCACGCAGCTCATCCTGGTGCTGCTGCTTCGGCCAGGGACCATGGCGGAATGGCCAGAGAAGCTGCGGCTCCCACTGCTGAAAGACTTCTTGCAGACTTGGCTGGCCATGGTGAGATGCTTGAAAGTGAGCAGGTGATCCCTTAAGCAAGAGCTGAGTGGGGTGAAGGCAGAGTCTGGGGACAGCAGAGGACACCAGCCTTTATATTCTGAGAGTCTGGCTTGGCAGAGGAGAGGCAGGCAATTAGCTGGGAGGCGCCTTGGGCTTGGTTTGCCTTGCAGGCGATAAGTTGCTTCTTGGCTCCCAACACACCTCAAAGCTAATCCTTTGGGCCCAAATGGTTTTTTTGCTCTCTTAACTTAATCACCCAAACTTGCCCCAGTTGATGAAAGAGAGCTCTCTGTTCCCTCCCTTGCTCGTGTGGTTCTCCCAAGGGTCTTAGGGATACAGCAGGAGGACTTGACTTTAAACACAGGGTGGGGGCTTGGCCTATCTCTACCCACTGCCACCTCTGCTCCACACCATGGGGTGCGGTCCTCTGTTTACTTGTACCCACCTCTTCCAAGAGACCTCGCTGTGGGGGCTGGAAGGAGAAGTACTCTGACCCTGTGGGTACCACTTAGCCAACACCCCAGCTAGGAGAAGGCCACCATCCACACAGGCCTGGAGTGTGGGCTAGCAGAGTGGGAAGGAAATAAATCCCTGGGGAAGGAGAGGCTCATGAGACTGCAGGGCCTGCACATGCAAAGCTTGGGGAAAGGAGAGGACCACACATGGGGTCAGGCTCACCCCAATATTGCACCCACCATCCTAAATCTGTATCCAAAAGTGACAAGAAACAGAGTCAGCATGAGAATCCTATTCATCCTAGGATAAGGCAGTGTGCTCTGTCAGACATCCAGTTCACACCCAGGACCTCTTCCCACACTGTTCCCACTGCCTGGTCTAACTCCATGCCCTTCCACCACTCTCTGCTCCCCAATCTCCCACTCCTATCTCTCTTCCCACTCCCCTGACCTATCCCACACTTCCCTGCTGACTTCTCAGTGCCCCCTACCAAGGGAGGGGCAGGTAACTTGCTCTGCAAGTTCAGCTCCTAACACCAGACAGACATCACACAAATGGACTCCTGACCCAGGAATATAGTCTGAGGACAGAAACATCTAGACCTGACTCTTACCTCAGGCCAATGGAGGCAAATCTTCAGGGAGAAAACATGAGAGTCTGTGTTTTCAGCAAGCCTCTCCAGGTAAGCCTTGGGCATCTGCAAGGACAGGAAGGCCTTGTCGGGACCAAGAGTTCTCCCTCCAAGCCAGCACGGGATCAGTGAAGGACCCTGCTGGCCAGTGGATTATTGCTCTATCCTTCAAGCACTCAGCCACTTACACAACAGTCACAGCACCCATGGGAGAGAGAGACCCTTCAGAATGTGACCAACCCATGAGACTCACATGGGGTGACAGGGGCAAGAGAGACACCTGCTAGACTCAGCAAGAAGTGGTAGTTTATGTATTTCATTGGCATTGAGTTCTCTCTCTCTCTCTCTCTTTCTCTCTAGAAAAGCCAGTCTAGGGAAGGGGAATTACCTGAGGTGAACAATTGTCAGGCTATACCACGCATTTTCAATATTTTCCTCTGTAACTAGCCTGCATGCAGCCAGTGCACCTGCTTGGGTCCCAGCCCCCACCACTCACTGGCTCTTCGGTTTTGCACAAATGAGTTTTGTGTGCCTGGTTATCAACTGTCAAATGGGGCTAATAACAATAGGTACTCCATTGGGTTGGCATGAATACTCAACAATTAAATAAATATGGAATGCTTAGTGCAGTGCGACGTGACAAACACAACTACAGCTAGGACTGGATCTGATAGGGAAAAGAAATAACTTGTGTGTTGGACAATAAACATCCTCAAATGATTTTGTACCCCCAAAGAATGGTAAGGGAAGGAATCAGAATAGGAATGATGGGTAAGAAAGCCAAGCTGGATGGTAGCAAGAGAAATTCACCCAAGGCTGGAGTTGGATGGGGTGAACATGGCCCACAGTTTAGCGCACAAGCCTGCATTCCCATTTGTCTCAAGAGTCAATAGCGACCATTGGGAGGTGTGCTGTCCTCAGGAGTGTTTTTCAAACACAGAAAGGAGGCCATGGAATTTTGGAGACCTGGGTTCAAATCCCACCCCAAATGATGACCCTCGGTGAGATCCTCAACTTCTTCTCCTTCTCCTTTTTGATGGAAGGAACATCCAACCTACTGGCATGGTTACTTGCTGCCCATAGTGCCATGCAGACATGTTTGGACACTTGAGTCAACGTTACCATCATGAAGGGGCATTGGTGAGAGTTCTTCAAGACACCTGCCCTACTCATTCCCTAAACACCAGTCCCTCCTGGGGAACAATGGGAAGTAAACTGAGGCAGATCCTACCCAGCCACCCCCTAAAGTCTCAGTGAGAGAGCCCAAAGCACACCTGTGTCTCTGGTGGCCCTTCCCCCACACCTCTGGCCATGCTGAGGCACCAGGAGGTGGCCTCCGAAATGAGGCTGCTCTCTGCACCCCAGAAGCATGACATGTGAGAAGTAAGAGGTCATGGGGGCACACTGAGATCTGCTCCCTGTTGCTGGAGCCTGCCCACATGTCACCTTTGACCCTGGCCATTGCTGTCTCAGCAGGTAAATGAGGTCACTGGGAACACCCAGGAGCACCCAGCTCAGCCTCCCAGCATCTGCCCAGCTGCCCGGCTACCCGGGCTGTCTTTTGCCAGCAGTCTGGGCTCTCTAATCCCCCCTGCTCCACAAAGACGGCCAGGTGAGCTGAACCCTCCAGACTCTGCCCTCCCCACCCAGAATGCAGGTGCCTGAGTTTGTCACCAGGTGGAATGACTTCCTCTACCCAAATTGCCGGCTTATAGTCAACTGCAGCCAGAGGGATTAAGAGGTGCCCGAAATAATTGTGGGTTCAGGAGTGACTCATGACCCCCAGGTCAAAGGGAGTCACTACCCTCTCCCCAAGGGCAGAGTTACTCCCTGCCCAGGCCTCCATATGGAGACGCACAACCCCCACCATCACACAGCCATGGAGCTGTTCCCAAAAAACATCCTTTTGTTACTGAGCCTTAATTGTTAACCATTATAATTTATCCTGCTCTTGTTCTGACGGCTACACTGGATCAGAATACACATTTCAAATCACTTGCAAATCTTCATTTCATGGTGGCCATTGAGCATAGCAGTTAAGACACTGTTGGGATAGCCACATTCCTGACCTCTTGGTGCTGGGTTCGAATCCTGGCTCTGCTGCCTTAATGCTACCTTCACTCTGCACACTCCAGGAAGCAGCCAAGGATGGCTCAAGTGGCTGGGTCCCTGTCACCCACATGGGGTCACAGATGGAGTGTAGAGTTCCTGGTCCCTGTCACCCACATGGGGTCATGGATGGAGAGTAGAGTTCCTGGTCCCCATCACCCACATGGGATCATGGATGGAGTGTAGAGTTTCTACTCCCCGTCACCCACATGGGGTCACGGATGGAGTATAGAGTTCCTGCTCTGGGTGATTGAAGGCAAAATTTTGTAGGCCCAGCTTTGGTTATTGGCTATTGTCGGTATTTGGGGAAAGAACCAGCAAATGGAATTTGTCTCTCTCTCCTTGTCTCTGTAAATCTGCCCTTCAAATAACAGCAAATGAGCAAGTCAATAAAGGCCACTTGGGGCACCTGCATCTCATATTATAGTGCCTTGGTCCTGGATCAGTTCCCAGTTTCAGCTTCCTATTAATGTGGACTCTGGGGAGGCAGCAAATGATGGCTCAAATACTTGGTCCCTGCCGTCCATGTGCAAGACCTGGATAGAACTCCCAGCTGATGCTCCAGCCTGGCTTGGCTCTGGGGAATAAACCAGCACATGGGAGATTCATTCTCTCCCTCCCTTTCAAATAAATTAAATAAAGTTTCAGAAAAAAAAATGTATCTGACACTTGGATATGCCTCAGGACTAGTCTAGGAATCCTATTCTATCCCCTCAAGAGGACCTTAATTAAAAGGTTCTAAGTCAAGTGCTTCCACAGCTTTCTCACAACTTAGTAAACCTCATTAGTATATTAAAAGCCCCGCAAAACCTTACAGAAATCACCTTCTTACCTGTTTTTAACCAGGGCTTCCAAAGCACGCTTGACCCCACACTGCCATATCTTAATAAACCCTATTAACGTGCTGTTGAATGCACCTTGGGGACACAGTGGGCAGACCACTATAGAGAAGTCAGAGGTCAAGGGCATTTGTCTGTCTTTGGACAGACAACACCTGCCCCAAGCAAGAGTGCAGGAGGCTGGGAGTCAATGGAGGCCAGGGCTTGATGACACAGCAAGATGGGCACTGCAGACTGGTAGAAAATGGGCAGAGTCTCCGAGGATCTTCCCTCCTGTCTGCATGCATTTCTCACTGACCATGGGTCTTGCTGGAAACAATGCTGGATCTTTCTGGAACACCCATGCTGTGTCCCCTCCCTCTCCTCCCTTGCAGATTGAAGGAATGGAACACAAAGGGGCCCTTGAGTTGGCCAGGCCTGCATTCAAGTCCAAGCCTCCTGACTATCCAATTGTATATCACTGCACCCTGAAGGCCTCCGTTTCCGTGCTACAGACTGGAACCAACACAGCCTCCTGATTGAACTGCAGTGAGCATTGAAGGTGGGTCCTGGCAGCCCTTGGGTGATACCAGAAGCCCTCCTGGAAGGTGTCAGGTTGTAGGCCGAAGGAGGAGGGCTGATGCCACCTTTAGATCTGTGATGGTTCCTGTGAGAATGGCAAGGGATCGCAGCGTCCGTACTGCGGGTTCCATAGAGCCCTCCTGTCCTGTTTCACCAAGCCAGCTTCCCACTGCAGCATTCATCATCAACACATACAGTGAGTCAGCCAACACTTGGTGAGCTGCTTCATCCTGCCCACAAGTGTAAAAGTAGCTCCTTCCTCAAACACTCCCTCCAGTTTGCTGTTGGTAGAAAGATTAGAAATAGCTGATGTCAAACTACTTGTTTTTATGAGATAAAACTTGTCAAGGATATTCTGCTTCTTATTAAATGCTGGGTTTTTTTTTTGAACAAAAAAAAAAAT